GGACAGCAAGTTACAGCCCACAGAGTCTCTCCGGCTTGACAAATAGTGACTTTAGGAACCTGATACAGTCTGAACCGTACTCCCAGCGCGTCCCTGGACTCCCTGGAGACTGAGATGGATGGGTTGTGGCAGTTTCTCACGGAGAAAAAGGAGGCTAACACAATGATGGAAAGGCAGGGGGAGACGGGGGAGAGGAAGAAGGGAAAGCCAGAGCGCATATGCAGACCTCTGCAGCTTTTGCCCCCAGATTAGTGTTAAATACTGCTGAGCCATGCCCGGGTCAAAGGCGGCTGATTCTGCTCCTCTGACTCCATAACAGGCATCTCTACCCTCCTGTAGTCAGAGTGGACAGATGTACGTACACTCATCCAAACACTCGTTTTTTTTTTTTTTTAAGAATACAGTCTTATTCACATAACATGAACGCCTTAAATCTATACCAGAGACAACGGGTTTGGTGTTGTTCTAATTTAAAGTTGAATTTTAAAGTGAAAATTGATGAATTAAAGGCTGAAGTCGTGTTATCTAAAGACAAAAGATAAAAATGTGAAATTCAAAGAAGGAAATTTAAGCTAATTTAAGCTAATTCGAGTGGAGTTTATGGACTAGAAATAACATTTCTACTACGTAACACTTAGGGAAAAAAGCTATACATTATATTAACATTTATTCTGTTAGTGCAAACACAGTTTTAAAAAAGAGGAAGTGTTGTTACTATAACTTTAGAGAATATATATAGCACATACAATATTTCAATTATGTTAGGCAGGGTCTGTTTCTAGTCTTGCCTAATTGTCGGTCCAGAGAAAAACATGGCACCGTCTTTTACCTCAGTTTACTCGATCAAAAAAAGTTTAGATTACTCACTTGTTTCCATTTTGAGTTACCAGATGTCACTACATCCCACAGACTTGTACTTCAACAATGTGTGTTCTCATATTTGCATAAGCATTACCCCGGATTTATTTCATTTTATTGATTTTTACCCAAAACTGTTTTTTCATTACATTACATATATACGGTATTTTCTTTTTTTTTACATTTATTTTAACATATGGGATAACATATAGGAGCAAACCCACTCCCAAAATAGGTCATTTAAACTCTTCTCATGCTACAAAATAGCTTAGATATGTGATTTGTGGGTGGATATAAGTTAAGTAAAGGGAGTACTATACAGGTATCATGGCATTCTACACAGGTAAGCAAAAGTAATAGCTGCTTTGCTAATCTTGCTACCATAATCTCAGCATTGAAGGGATCTTCACCCACTCTAGAAATTGTGTTAATGGGGACTTATATCCCTGAGTCTGAAGGCCGTAAACTCTTCTATTTGGGTTAATGACATTAAGAAACACATCGTAGTAGTAGTAGTAGTAGTAGTAGTAGTAGTAGTTGTTGTTGTAATAGTTAGAGTAGTAGAATCTACAGCAGTATAAATCTGGAATACACGTTTGTAATTGTATTGATTGTTGACCTGCCAATAATTCTGACAATCTCTATGTACACCATCATGATAAAAAGGATTACAGATAGAATGTTCATAACAAAGTGGTATGTACCATGTCTTGCTATGAAATAGTAACGGTCAATTTTAAAACTTGAAGACAATGGAAACAATCCTCTAGAAGACTTAATATTCTAATAATTGATTTCTAACTGTTAATATGAAAGATTGTTAATATTTATTTGCCCTAATTATGTCCAATTTAGGCTTGATTAATTAATATAAATGTGTAAATATAAATTTAAAAAATTATCGACATTTTTTCTATACCACTGATATTTTCCCTTAGTCTCTGTGTGTATTGGCTAATAACCTTTAATCCTATAAAACCTTTACTTATGACACTGTCAGGAAATATAGTTAGAAAATGTTTATTATCTTCATAGAACATTACACTCTAGCTCAAAACATGTAAAGCAACTTTTCTGTCAGTTCATCCATCCATGTATCCACCTATCTCTCTGTTTATCCACAATCAATACCAGTTTAATCTCACTCAGGGTTACAAGGGTTTAGTTTATCACAGCTACAATTGGTTTGAAAGTCAGGGTACACTCTGAATAGGTTGCCAGTCCATCTCAGGGCTAACAGAGAGACAAATGACACTACCTCGCACAATCATATGTAATCGTGGTCACTTTAGAATAACTAATGAACTACAGAAACTGGATATTCAGGCGTGTCTTTTGGTCTGCTTGAGGAAGACAGATTAGAGCTTTACCCAAACATGCAACACTCAGCTGAAACCATGCTGAGGAGCTCCCTTCCTGCAGGCTCTAAGCCCACCTACCCCCTCTTTAGGACACCAGCATTACTGAGGATCAATCAGGTCAGATTACGGTTGATAAGCATTAACACTATTGTAACCCTTACAATACTTTGGATAAGGCTAAATATACATTATGTGTTTGTCTGAAGGAAATAACCATATCTGTCCGCCGAATAACTCCTATTAAATCTTTATTATTTGGAATGCCCTCTGAATTTTGCTCAGATTGTAAATAGTGCTTGAATATTCTTAGCATTTAATACCATGTCTCTATAACTATGTTTAAATATGCAACTGGCTGCACAGCTGGAATGAATAAAAACAAACCAAAACCAAAGATTTAGAATTCACCTGCAACTGATGCTTAACTTGCTATTGAATGATCATATTTGAACAAAAAGGAGATTTCATATATTTTAAATAGGCAAGAATAGGCACTTCAGAAGTAAGTTTGCATATATCTGTGTATAGCTTAAGGAGTTTCTATAAATGTATTGATTACCAACACATCAAATTGTTAAAAAAAAAAAGATCAATAAATGAATGCCAAATAAATGTCTTAAAATAGCTAAATCTTCACTAAAGCAAAAGTCCTGTGGAAAGTAACTCAAAGCAAGTAATTAATTGAGTTACATATGACGCAACAATATAAAAAAAAACATCCATTTCCCTCTGTTGCTATAAGACAAGAGGTACATAATGTCTTGGACAGGTTCCCAGTACAAAGGGCCAAAAAAAGAGACAAATATTACTACAAATTGTACTTACTAAATTTAAAGAATGAACAAAAAAGACATAGCTCCTAAACTACTGTCATTCCTTACGCTATTTGATGTTTTAATACTCCTTCAAGCACATAAGCAATATAGAATATTGAAGACTCTGACTATGATTCGGGGCCAGAAACCGCCTTATAATTTACATATATCATCAACATTCTTCTTCTGCTTCTGCCTCTGTAGCCTCTCTCCAGCTAATCCCATCCTCCTCGCCTCCCTGTCCACCCACTCCCAGAGAGGAGTGGGCAACGTTACAAGGAAAAGAGAAAAAAACAGGATAATAAAAAGAGGGGGATGAAGGCAAGAGGAACGTGCTAAAGGGGAGCTTTCTCTACGCTGCACGATTGTAATTCAGCATTCCAGGATGTTGGGGAAACTCTGATTGTGTTCAGGCTCGCGCTGCCTTAAGGCTGAGCACGAATTCCAGTTGGATTTTCTGAGGCTCGCTACTTTTTGGTACATAATATTCATGAGCTTTTATAAGCATTCTGACATGTAAGTGTTAAAAAAGGCAGTTTTTTTTGGCAATTAATGCGCTAATGCTGTGGCACATCAATTTTTTCTCTCATAGATAGATAGATAGATAGATAGATAGATAGATAGATAGATAGATAGATAGATAGATAGATAGATAGATAGATAGATAGATAGATAGATA